AATTAAGGTTTGGATTTTTTTCTTACTGCAGGAGAAACAAACTTACCAAAATCAACAATCAGAAGAAGAAAAAACTGAAAAGCTTAGGTTACCCTTAGAATGTCTAAAATGTCTAAAAGTTTAGGTTATCTTTAGAGATGAGGCATGGTGGCTCACTCCTATAATCCCAGTGCTTCGGGAGGCCGAGGAGGGAGGATTATTTGAACAACAAGGAGTTTGAGGTTAGCCTGGACAACATAGTGAGACCCTGTCTCTAAAAAAATTAAAAGTGTATCCAGGCACGGTGGAGTGTGCCTGTAGTCCCAGCTACTCAGGAGACTCAGGCGGGAAATTGCTGGAGCACAGGAGGTCGAGGCTGCAGTGAGCAATGATCACACCGCTGTGTTCCAGTCTGAGTTGGAGAGCAAGACCCTGCCTCTAAAAAAATTTAAAAATACAGAATGTTACTTTTAGAAAGTCTATGTGTAAGGCAGCCAACCTGGTAAACTTCCTCAGGAGAGAGGTGTAAGGTGTGGCATGGTAGACATTGCATGTGGCTGGCAGCACATTGCACGTAGACAAGGACCGAAAATAATGATGCAGGTAGGGGGGTGCATTTTCTTAAAATTCAGGCACAAAGCAAAATTCTTTCTTTTAAAATCCTTCTCCAGAGGTAATCACTTTTGAGCAGCTTTAAGTATATGTTTTCACTTTTCTATAATATTATGGTTTGTTGGGATTTTTTTTTTATTTACAAAATGGGGTAGTATTTACGGAGTAGACATGTCCTCGGATACAGTTTAGCTCATGTCAAATGTTTTAAGCAGGGACGCAACATGATGAAATTTCTGTTTCAGAAGAGCGACTCTTGAAGATTTGGGACAGTAGGCAAGACTGGAAGCCAGGAGGCCAGCAGGGGGCGCTGTTGCAGGGCTCTTGGGGAGAAGCAGATGGTGGGTGTGAAGGAAACATGGGGATGTATGTGCGCCAACTGGAAATTCTGAAAGTTCCTTTTGCAATTCTTTGTGACCCTTAGATTTGGAAACATTGGTTCACTGAGTGTAAAGGAAATGAGCTCAAATCAAAAGCCACCAGCAAAAACAAGTAAATCCCCTGGGACAGCTAATGTTCTGGATGTAAACAATTCAACACTCATGTTTGTTGGAGGTCTTGGAGGACAAATCAAGGTAACATTCTGAAAGTTCT